TCTTTCCCTGTGATTTTTGCTACAGAACCTTCTGGTGCAAGATCTCCTCTCAGGATTTGGATGTGACCAGTCTTCTTGATTGGGTTTGACAGAGGTCTGATTATATCCTGGAATATTGAAAGAATAATAGAATTATAGAGTTGTTTACCCATCCATTAGAATCAAGAGGAACGAAAAAACTTTCGATATAATCAAAATAGAAATGTCAAAAATAATCCTACCTGATCATCTGGTAAACGTGGGACATTTTCTACATTTTGGCCCAACGTCTTCCCCGTCACTAGTGAGAGAGAATGGAAGTTAAAGTGAGGATCAATTTTATAAACAACTTTGATCGACCTAAATGACTAAGTTATACGAGTATGTTTACCTGTGATACAATCCCCATCCATAAAGCCTAGCTCTAATAGATGGCGAATAACAGCAGGAGTTCCACCTATCTGTAACACAAATAATGGAAATACAAAATAATGAATACCAAAACAAATAACCGAAGGACCACGAAGAATAGAACTAAACTTCAATATATGTTTAAGAGCAAAAGTCCCCACCTTATGTATATCCTCCATAACATATTTCCCACTGGGTTTGAGATCAGCTAAAAATGGAACTTCATCGCTGACCTTCTGGAAATCATCGAGGGTTAACTCCAGACCAACAGACCTGAAAATGATACCAGTAATTTGATCTACCCTTGCCTCTAATGAAAATAATAAGCAGAAAGAAACGAGAGAGAAAGCTTCAAGCTTGTCTTACCTAGCGATAGCAATCAGATGCAAAACGGCATTGGTGGATCCTCCTAGGGCCATGACAGTGACCATGGCATTACGAAGTGAATTTGGCGTGATTATGTCACGCGGTTTCAAGTCCATCTTTAGCAATTCCAGCAAATATTTTCCAGCTAAACGACACTCATCCAACTTCAACGGGTCCTCAGCAGGTATCGAAGAGCTTCAAGAAACAAAAGCAAAAATATGTGACGAATGAATAAATCTATGCAACAAGCATTTAGAGAATACCATTAACGACTTCCACGACACTTGAGGAAAACAAATTGTCTAGTAAGAATAGCAAATCAAATGAGATATCTGCCAAGATACTTGGAGTCCAATGATTTCATCATGAATGGAGTCTTCATGATCAGAAGGCTCACCTGTAAGGAAGAGACATTCCCATAGCTTCAATTGCAGACGCCATCGTATTAGCAGTGTACATGCCACCACATGCTCCTGCTCCCGGACAGGAGCGGAGGAGGACATTCTTTCTCTCTTCGTCACTTATAGCTCCACTAACATACTCTCCATAACACTGGAACCAAAAAAATTGATTAACATGAGTAAATGAAAACACAAACTGAAGAATTTCAAAGCAAGAAGCTGACAAGACGACTTCATTTAAAATAGAAGCTACTTGACAAAGAAGTCATCTAGATATTTGTTTCAATCCTATAACTGAATAAGCTAAAGATGCAGTAACAGAAATAATGCTACAAATCAGAAAAACAAGATTACATCTGTATCACTTGCCCAGTAGCAGGAAAAAGCAAACAAAGGATACCTGAAAAGCAGATACAATGTCATATGTTTTATCCTGAAAGTGACCGGGCTGCAAGAACCAAAGAAAGAAAATAAGCCATCCAGATATCAGAACTCATAGATTGCAATCAGGAATCTTGATAGGTGTAAAACCTTGATGGTTCCTCCATAAACCATAATGCCAGGTCGGTTAAGCCTTCCCATAGCCATAATTGTTCCAGGCATCTGAAAATAGCATAAGTAACAACAAAGCAATTAAATCACATAAACAAGGTGCAAGGGGAACATTATACAACGCAATCAAACCTTTCCTATCTTTCATTCCATTGAAACCAAGTGGTGCGCCCAAAATTTCTTCGAACTAACGAGGAAAAAGAAAAAGAAACTTGCAGAAATGCCGTAACTAACATCAAACAACATTTGCAAATAAAAACTAACACGAGGAGGGAATGATAAACAACAACTACCCTTTTCAAGCAGAGACAGTAAAACATGTTACAAACTTACAATCAATTCATACACATTTCTCATCTGCAAGAAGAGATATAAAGGCCCGAGATTTGATAGAAAGGAATATAAACCTATATATGTCTTCAAAATTGAAGCTTTACCGAGGACACCCACCCAACAAACTAAGTAAAAAACAGAGTACAGAACAAAACTCAAAACCAAGTAGTAAGACCCAAACTGATTGCCATTATACCCTGCGCCCATTAGTTCTAACTAAACCTATAATGCAAGAGCAATACTCCCAATCAATCCAACAAAACTCCACAAATAATATCAACCTAATAAACTCTAAAACCCCAAAATATTTGGAGGATAAATAACCACAACACTAAATAAGAGTCCATTGTTAACATTCATTCGAGCAAAAGATTTGAAGATGAAAAGCTCACATTTTTGTCGCATCCAGGAATGGATATGTTCCCATCATACCATTGGGCACTCATCACGGTCTCAATACTATCAGCAATCAAATCCCTCGATTGCAAACTGAAGCACATCCCTCTTGTTCCCATGGAGATTGCATCACTGACACCAATGGTGTTGAATCTGAACCCCACCATTCCCGCCCCTTCAACCCCCTCTTTCACCGCCTCCGATAACTTCAGCAAATGCATATTACAGGTGTTCCCTTCGTACCACACCGACGAAATCCCGATTTGGGGCTTCGACATATCGTCCTCGGATAAACCCACGCCGTGGAGAATTGCCTGCGACCCACCTTGCGATTTCGGCTCCGTGATCCGGGAGCTGTACTTGTTGAGCTTCAAGACGTCTCCGGCAGCGGTGGGAGGCGGCGAGGGGTCGGCGGCGACGGCGCAGAGGAAGGTGGGTCTCCGGCGGCGATGGTCCCCGGAGGGTGCATTGTGGGAAGGGAAGACGGTGGCGCGTGCGGAAACAATGGCGGCTTGCATGGCGGCGCGTGGAGAGAGGTGAGCGATTTAAGGGTTTAAGATATGGTTTTCAGAGATTGGGGCACTTCTGAGGGTTTTGACAGGTAAAGGAGGAAATGGTTTATTTGAACGTGGCGCGTGGGGGCGCGTTGATAATCACTGTTTAGTGGCAAATTAACAACGATTAAGAAATAATAAACATCATACAATTATTTTAAAATGTAAAATCCAAATATTTAGTAATTTGAAAATGATTTTTTAAAGCCAAAATTTTTAAAAGGAAAAAAATTGATTTTTTTTCTATATTTTATTTGATTAAAAATACGTTTTAATTAACTGTATTTATTTTCTTGGCATGCAATCTTTATTTTAATTTAAATGTTGATCGTTGTTGCATAATTTTAATAATGCCTAAAATTGAGTTAAATAAAATCTTTTGGATTTGTGATATAAAGTCATATTTTTATTTTAAAAATTAAGAACTTAATATTCTATTATCACTTTGAAGAGAACTTCAATTTTTTAAATGTTTTTATTTATCTCTAAACTAATTTTTTATTTATCTATCTGGTTTTAAATCGTTCTATCTATTTTAAATATTTTTAAATAGATCTATCTATTTTTATATGAAATTAAATTAAATGGGAAATTTTTTAATGTAAGTGATTTGTAGGATTTATTATGTCAATTATCACTAACCAATATTCACAATCCCATAGTTTTAAAACTTTCTGAGATGCATATTACAATAACACATTGTATTTGACGGCTGGCACACAACATAAGCAGCAAGCGCGTGCATCCACCACAAATCTGTGGGCGCGTGAATCGTTTCATATTTATTTATTTCTTTTTTATTTCCCTAAAATATAATAATGAAATGTGCTAACTAGTTGGTGGTGCTTGCCACAACAACAAATCCGTGGGCACGTGGGTTATTTTATATATATATATATATATATTTTTTTTTTTAGATTTCCCTAAAATATAATAATGAAATGCGCTTGATGGTGCTTGCATGGGTTTTAATTGAACGTGAAACTAGTTCCTTTATATAATAAAATATAAATTATATTAACGAAAAAAAATTTAAATTTTATATACAAAATGTTTATCATATTTTTGTGTAACAATCAATGTTACATAAATTAAATGCAACGTTAATGTGGGCCAATTAGAGAGCTCAGCAATTGACTTGTTGAGCAAGTATATTTGTCAACGGCCAAACATAGTGTCACGAGTTTTTATGTAACATCTCGCCCTTTCTTTTTTTAAAATTACACTTGATAATAAGAAATTAAACCTTTCTTTAGTTCATGAGAATATGAGATGGATACAAGTTTTTTTTTATTGGAAATCAAACTTTTTCAAAAAAAAATTATTACATCAAGAAATATTTTATTAATACAATTAATATTTCGTATAAATTCAGTTTGTATAAACATCTAGAAAATACATTTTTAATACAATTAACATTTCAACAACCACAAAAAATTGCTATACATTACACATTTTCACACACACAGATGTGTGCATACATATACATATACATATACATATACATATACATATACATATACATATACATATACATATACATATACATATACATATACATATATATATTAAACACATTCAACCATTAACTGTGTGTGGTCAAAATCTAACGTTAAATACTTAATGAATAACTGTATTTTTCCGCAATAGTTAGTCAGCTTTTTTCTTGATGTAGCTTATCAGACTAGGGGGGACTTTTCTTCCCCCTCCCCAAAAAAAAAACACTATTCTTTTTTAAAACTGTATTTTTTTCATGTTGGCTTATATATATATATATATATATATATATATATATATATATATATTGCTAGAAAAACTCAAATCTTTAACAATAATTTCTAGGAGGCATACCTTTTAGACTAAAAAACAATGAATATCATATAAGTTTTTGTGTTTTTACATATTTATATCTGATTTTGGAAATTAGTAGGATTTGATATTTTGGATTTTGATCTCTTTTTTTTTCAAATTAAGATTTTTTTTGTTTTAGAAAAAATGTCGAGCTTAGGTTAGATTTTTGTTATTTTATCGAATTTAGTTTTTATTAATAGATATTTAATTTCTAAAAAAATATGTTTATTCTGTCTTTTCAATTATTTTTATACTAGTTTTATATTTTGATTGTAAAAATTTATATTTAAATTACATGTTAGTATTATTTGATTGTTTATATTTAATTGATTTTGATTGTAAAAGTTTATATTCAAATTACATAATGGTATTATTTGATTGAGGATTGCTTTTATACCGGTATACCGACCCCTAAAGATTAGTGGTTGTAATAAATGTCATTCTTCACACAATGTGTGTGTATATATATATATATATGTGTGTGTATGTGTGTATGCATTTCAAACATGAGTCAAGAAATTAGAAAAGACTGGAATTTGTTTTAAAAAAAAATGGGAATTTGATATGTGAAGGAAAGAAGTGAGTACAAAGCATGGGTCCACATTAACTTTCTGACATACCAATTGTCGAAGGACCTTTCTATTTGCATTTCAAACATGCATTTGTAGTACTAATAGAGCTTTTACAGGTTTTTGAACTCATTCAACATCGTTACACTCATTTCAATTCAACATTGGATTGCATGCAAAATGGATATATATATATCTATACCCATAATTATTGGTGCCCTTATAATATATATAATCCTAAGTGCACATATATGTGCTTTAGATTATACAAATCATTTGTTTATGTGTGTGTGTATATATATAGAATATAAGTATAAATCTAGAAATTTTATTTAGTGGATTCCAATATTACAAGAAAAAATAACTTATTGTTACCATAAAGCTCAATCAAACTTCATTAAAATACATTAATTTTCTTAAAATAATTAACTATTTTAATTTTTTTCGGCCGAACCTACTATTAGTTATATGGGTATCTAATCTAACCATATCCATACATATATATATATAGATATCCCAATACAACTAATATAGATACTCCAAAGTCTCCAATAATGCATATATCTATATATATAGTGTAGGATGCATGCATGCATGCATGCATGTATGCGTGGTCTTCACATAGATAGTCATAAATATGTATACATTGTGAAGAAGAAGAAGAAGAAGAAGCGACGCATGTGGCTGCTGTAATTAAGCAGAATGTTAAGGGGGTCTTTTAATGTGTGTGATATTTATGTTTTTGCTCGGCTTTAGTGCGTATCCATAAATGTGTCCGCAGGCTCAGTTAATGTTCTTCCATATCAACTTTCAAATCAATGTATAGTAGAACATTTCCCAATTGATTCTACTTGCATTTAGTATAAAGTATAAAACCCTCCAATTATTTTGTTCAATAATATATATATATATATATATACACACCCCACACGCCACAAATTATTGTTAATTATCATGATTTCCATATTTCATATGGATACTCTTAAAGATTATAATAAAGCATTTTTTGGGCTATTACGAGATGTGATTGGTTTTTTTGTTTTCTTTGTATTTAAAATATTTGTTCTTCATTTCGATGAATAATTCCCTGGAAAAATAGTTTATGTTCTTTCGATTTTCTCTAGGATTTCAATAGAAAGTAATCTAAAAATCGTGTAAAATTCGATCCAAATCATGCCTAAAAAATTCACCAAGATTAACGTCGACATTTCATAACATATATTATTCTGAACATATTATTAATCCACGAAATATATAGCAATAGTTTGTATCATGCTTGGATCGAGTTTTCTTTTTCTATTTTTTAAACTTTTTTTTTGTCTCTATTTATCATATATTTTAGTGATGAACATAGAGTAAAGAAGACATCTAAACTAGAGGCTTACAAAGTAATTGAGATATGCTAAGTTCCTCTTCATGTCTTAATTAACTATATGAATGTGCAAACATGTTTTTCTTCTAACATGAAATAAAGTTCTTAAAACAAAAAAATAAATAAAGTGAATTGAATTTATAACCAGTAGGACCGTCTCTCATATATAATAAGGTTTTCTATTCTTTTTGCCCCCGTCCTCAAACGTCGTATTTAATTAACACTTGACTCCATTACTACTCTCTCTCTCTCTCTCTCTCTCTTTCTTCACCGTTTCTGCTTGCTTCTTATATACTTCAATAACGAAAAACTAAAGTAAAAACCCAACAAATACCGTTTGCAAGAAGACCACCCCACAAAAAAAAAAAAAAAAAAAAAAAAAAAAA